ATGGATGAACTGAGTAATCGTTAGGAATATTCACTTTTCATAGTATCGTAAATGAGTTGAGGTACACGACATGTTTGTTTCGAATTGAACACAATAAGCGACCTGGCTAGTGGTTATGAGAATACTTTTATTATGCGTTCGATGAGTAAAGTAGCGTAAATATTTGTTTTTCAAATTGAGGACAATAGATGAATTGAATAGTGGTTACCAGAATTCATTTTTTCTGTGATTATCAATTGGTATATGAACTCGATATTGTCATTTTCAAGTGAGTAAACTATGGAAACAAGACGGTGGTTATGAATTTCTATTTATTATATAACGTGAATTCCAATACCAACTGCAAATTCTAGTTATGATAATAAGAAGATAAATGAACAGAACAGTGGTTATGAGAATTAATGTATCATGTCTTACATGAATGACTATCAACTTTAAATTTAAGCTTCAATCGGAAGAGAACAGTTGAACGAGAGATTATTTATCATAATTCATTTGCTATATGATCTACTAGTTGATTATCACTTCTACAGCTCTTGCTAAATGTAAACAGATTATGCGAGTGGAACTATTTTGAGAAAAATTCAACTTCTATGTTTTTCAATCAGTTTAACAACTTTAATACATTTCATACAAGTGCGCAAAATAAAAGAACAATAACGTCCTGAGGATTATTCGTTCATCATGTGAACTTAGATCAATTCATCAAACTGGAATGTTGGGATCGTAATGAATACAAAATATGAACTAAACAGTATTTGCGAATGTTCAAGATAAGCAGTATATTTTTTCTAACTTTCGAGTTATCAGTGTGGCAGTCATTTTGCATGAAGTCTTGATTTTATGCGTGTAATAATGGATAACGAAAAGAAACGAATAAACGAGAATTAAACAATGAGTAGCAATCTAGAACGTTGTTGATAGTAATTTGAGAAGTTTTCATTATATTTTTGTGTGCTTTTCGGAGCTTAACTTTGGTTGGTTTTACTTAAAAAATGTAGCCATATTTGTAAGTGAGACATGTCTACACTGTGTACTGTTCAATGTGTTTGTATAGTGCGACAGATATCACTGCCGTTATCATTATTTGTATATTGAAAATGGAACATTTCTCCTCTAGTAAATTTGGCTTTGGTTTGTTTTTAGTTTATTGAAGAGAGAAGACGAATCTGTCTTTTATGGATCGTGGATTATAGAAAAATAGTTAGCAAAATTAGTAGTAATACCATTCAGTATGACGATTCTAACTATTTGTGTAAAACACAATCTAGAGGAAGTATTGATGTATATAGGGTTGAAATTAGACTCACTCTGCTAGCTCCCATAAAAGATGTCGTCAGATATTCTGACATTTGGCTACAGATCACGACAAGTATTGTTAATATATGATGAAACACTGCTTATCAGTAACATGTAACTCTTGTATAGAAACTACTTTTTATTGAATATTTTAGAGACTAGATAAAAGAATAATGAAGATACGGGCTCCAAGATAGGTAGAAACAAGCGATTTTCATTTTTAATTATTAATAGCAGTCACATTGTGTTTTACACTTTAATACTAGCAGGATTGTGTTAACAGCTTTTCTAATGCCGTAAGTTTTCGGATTTTAACACTCACCATATTTTCAGTGCCTAGTTTAGTCTTCTCGAAAGAGTTGGCAAGAGTTTGTCGTAGAAAATCTTCTCGATTATAAATGTAAGTTTCTTCAACATGAGAGATTCATCTGTAGATTCTTTAAGGTCATCTCTATCCATGTGTCTTTATTTTATTGATGTCAGAGAACACCTCCAAATGCTTTCCTCATCAGATTTATAGTTTTAGGGTGATGAAATTCAATCAATCTTGTCCTTTTGTGATTTTACCAATTTTCCTTTTCTAATAGCATCAAGTTTATAGAAATCCATGGGATTTTCACTTCTTACTAAATATATAGTTGTTGTTGCTAAGCGACGTACGGAATTTCACTTGTTTTCGTAAAAAAATGCAATCCGAACCAAGGACTAGCTGTTTATACCAACAGAATAAGATAGCTTCCTCGAAGAAGAAAGTTTTTTCGATCCGTTAAAGAAATCGATGAACAGAAAAAACTGTGAGAGATAAGAACCATCTGGACATTGAATGATTAACGTGAAAGCATCTCCACAAATCTGAGAGTTGAAATCGTAGACTCGAAGAATTTCTTTTCTATGTTCAGTCTTTAATAACAGGTAAAGTTAAAGTTACATAGATCAAAATATGAGAGTTTCATTAAATAAAAACATAATAAGTTCAAATGATTGAGAAATCATTCTTCAGATCAGAAGAACAATTTTCTCAATAATCTTTTACATCAAGCTGAGCCTCAAGGATGTGTGTATTGCGAGGATATAACCCATTCTAACTGACATTCAAATATCGTAAAGTATTGTCCCCATTGATAAAGGAATTCATTCAAACTTCACAAACAATATTATCATTAGAAATCTTTTCGTATCAATAATAAATCTTACGTTCTTTTAGGGATATGTGTGAATGGAAAAGACGACGATTAAGCTCGGATCACTATCCAATAAATTCACATATATATACAGTAAAACCTCCCATAGTGAACACCTCTATATAGTGAACACCTCTCGTCTGAACGGATAATCTGAACCGCCCGATCGATTTTTGCTGTAAATAGACCTCTGTATAGTGAACACCTCCCAACTCTGAACAGTGAACACTTTGTTTTGGTCCCAATAGTAAAAAAACCTCTATATAGTGAACATATGTACAAGAAAATATGCGCTTGAGAAGATAAAAATCGAGGACAAATATTGTACATTTCGAAGCAATGACCGCTAACTTTATTGACGGTCTACTTATTATAAAAAAAATGGTCGCATGCATAAAATAAAAGACGAATGATAGTCAAAAGTTCATCTCTAATTGATATGTCGCATGTATTGAACAAAAAGAACAATAAGAATGAATAGGCAATAACGAATTGGTCCTCTGTGTCTGTAAGAATATCACTCCTTTCTATTCACACTTGTAAGATGACAGCAAGACGCGATTTAACACTTGCTGAAAGAGTAGAGTTGATTCGTAAAAACGAACAAAATGTACCGTACCGTAAATTGGCTGGTGAGTACAAAATCTCGATCGGAAGTGTTTCAAATATTGTTAAGCGCAAAGTTGAGTACATTGAGAATTATGAACAAAATGAAAACTCAAACAAGAAGCGTAATCTACGTGATGAATTCAGTCAACAACTAGATCAGAAAGTATATGAATGGTTTGTACAACAACGCAGTAAGAATATTCCTATCTCGGGTCCTCTTTTGCAAGAGCAAGCAAGACAAATTCGTCAACAACTAGGTGGTTCAAATGCTGGCGATTTCAAAGCAAGCAATGGTTGGCTAGAAAAGTTTCGCAAACGTCATGGTATACAATATCGAACTATCAATGGTGAATCAGCATCAGTCGATCCTGCAACTGTTGACGAGTGGGAAAAGCGCCTGGTGGTAATGATTGACAAATATAATCCCAATGATATTTATAATGCAGACGAAACTGGATTATTCTTCAAAGCACTACCAAATCGTTCGCTTGTTGCGGCCAAAGATTCTTGCAAAGGCGGGAAACGGTCCAAAGAACGTTTTACAGTTTTGCTGTGTACCAATATGACAGGTACAGACAAATTAAAACCGCTTATGATAGGTCAGTTCTGCATTTTCTGTTTAGTCTTTCCTTATAATAAATGTTAATGTTTCCGTTTTAGGTAAATCTGCTAATCCACGATGCTTCAAGAATTAAAATGTGAAAAACTTACCTATTACCTGGCGATCAAATCGTAGCAGCTGGATGACAGCCAGCCTCTTTGAAGACTGGCTGATTACCGTGAACAAAAGTATGATTAAACAAAAGCGTAAAATTTTATTGTTTATGGACCATGCACCATGTCATAATCCCGACGTTGAATATTCCAACATATGTGTTAAATTCTTTCCTCCAAACACAACATCGAAGCTGCAACCCCATTGACCAAGGTATAATCAAGAATTTCAAGTGTTATTATCGTAAGTATTCTGTTTTTCGACATTTTGAAAAATATAACTGACTTCATTTAGGTCAACATCTTGTGAAGCATGTAATATCACGTTGTGCCCTTGCTACATCACCAGATGACATTATTATTACTGCTCTTGATGCCGTAACTTGGACAAAAAATGCTTGGGAAAGTGTCACTCAATTAACAATCCGCAACACATTTCGTATGGCAGGCTTCGTTCATCCAAATACTCAAGATACTATTAGTGGTACAATCGACAATGAAAATGATACAAATGAAGAAACTATTATTGATGATATTACAACAGCATTAAAAGATCTTGATACTCTTCTTGCTCATATTCATATTGATGGACAAAGTCTTTCAGCAAGTGAATTCGTCGAAATGGACTTAGATACACCAACTTTCAATGAATGGAATGAATCTGACAATGATGTAATCATTGTCGATGAAGAATATGTCAATAAAAAACATAATAATAATGATCAGGATGATGATATACTAACTGAAGCACCACCAAAACTCATCGATGCAATGAAAATGGCTAAAACGTTACACCTTCTGGCTTCTACTCAATATCCAGAATTACATTCACTTATTTCTCAACTAGATTCGCAACTGACTCAACTCTTTATCGATTCCAAAGGTGCGAAACAAACTAAGATTGATGATTTCTTTTGTAAAAATTAAATAAAAATGTATAATCTATAAAAGAAATATTTTTTTGTTATTTTGTTTTATAAAATTTGAAATAAATATATGTCATAAATTGAAGAAATGATTTTTTTATTCTATGCACTAAGTAATCCAAGGAAATTCTAACAAAAAACGTGCGTACTCATCAACATGTAACACTCATCATACACAGTACACATGTAATAGTTTATTCATTATGACACCTCTATTTAGTGAACACCTCCTATAGTGAACATGTTTTAACCAGTCCCATTAGTGTTCACTTTAGGGAGGTTTTACTGTAGTTCTCCAAGTTTTTAATTTTTCAAGATCATGTTGGGAGCGATATTTGCGGTAATCCCGTCGATGTTTGTTTACCGTTCTGGCCAAGAAGATTAGTTGTGGTGGCCAGGGTGATCTGTAATTCTTTATTGGTTTGTATGAACTGCACCTGTCTTGTAGTACGTTTAGAAAAGTAGAGAATAATGTAAAAAAAGAATCTATGTCAAGATTATATACAAGAGAGTTCCAGTACTGGTGTATATTTGATAGAAAGAACGTAAAGACTGGCCAGTTCGTTTGCTTGTATGTAATTGAGTTGTCTATAGCAAAGGGTGCATCAAAAATGATTGGCCAGTGGTCTGATGCAGCTTCATTTAGCACTTGTGATCGCCAGCCTTGTGAGCTATCAGTGATTCCGAAGTCTATTATGGCATTTGAACGTTTAGATGTTGAAGAAGTTGGTAGTATTAAATCGTTCCCCGTCGCTTCTAGCCAGTCGAACAGATGTATTCCACTTGTGTTATTTTTGCTGCATCCACATGTAGTATGTTTGGCATTGAAATCTCCAAATATGAAAAATTGTCTGTTTTTGCATTTGTTGAAAATTTGAAACGGTGGTAGTGTTCCAGGTGGAACATAAACTACTCCAATTAGTATGTGTGCATTAGTGGTTTCGACTTCACATAGTATAAAGTTTGTTTCCTTTTCAACTACTTTACAATTTAGCGACTTTTGATACATAACTGCTTTCCCACCAAATGAATTTGTACCAGCTTGTGTTATTGCTGTATACCCAGGGAATACAGGCATTTTTTCAGTTGCTTTACCAACTCCAGTCAATAAGCATAGGTGTGGTGCGTGTTTGCTTAAGATAAGATCGACATCATCTGTATGTGTATTAAGGCATTCTACATTGAATAGTATTATAGTTAAATTAGTATTAGTTGTATGTGTTGGACGTTCTTTTTTCCATTTCGTGTTAATATCAGAAATACAAGTACGTGTGTTCCACTCATTTATCATTTTACGAATAGATTCTTTATCTTTTAGGGATCCATTATAAGTTTCGACTATTTTGGGATTTAGGTAGGGATCAGAAAAGAAAAATAAATTTTTATTCACTTGACTTTGCGAGCAGTTCGATTCCATGTGTTAGAAGGTTGTTGTTTTTCTCGAAGTTGTCGATCATTTCAGCATATTTCGTGGAGATGAGTTGTTGTCGTTCGTGAAGGTAGTTTATCCATGTTTGCAGTTGCGTGATGTTTGGAATGACTGATAATATTTCTTGCATATCGTTTGGTTTTGTAATATTTTCAATGATCTGTTTATTGAGTCCAATAGAAAGAGTAATCATTGGTATAATCTCGTTCATTGTATTGATCACCGAGTTTAGACATTCATTATGTTGCTTTATCATGGTTGTTGATAAAGACAAGATAGCATCTAGCTGTTTTTTCATATCTCTGTATTGATTTTCAATTTCTATTTCTTTTTACTTGAATTTTTCGTGAGTTTTCATAATTTCTTTTTGAGCTTCATTCATATCGTTCCAGATGTTGTGCGTTGTTTGTTGTCTATTATACCATTTGTTGGTTGTATTCGTTAATGAAGATATGTTGGATAAAATTGGCCATTCTTTGTTGGAATATTGATTGAAGTAGGATTGTTGTTGTATGTTTTTGTCGTTGTTGTGTTGAGTTTGAGTTTTGGGGTTAATCAAGATGTGATTGTTTTTTCTTTCTGCTGATCTGAATTGAGTAGGTATAAAAAATTGACAATTCTTTGGTAAGAGGTCGGGTCGATTTTTCAATTTGATCATTAGTTCTTTCCTGTAATCATTAATAAATGGGCATTCGTATGATGTTGCTTCATGGTTACCATTGCAGTGATGACAAACAATAGCACATTCTTTGTGATCACCTTCGTTTCTGTTTGAGCCGCATTTTTTACATTTTTCGATATTGCTATTGCATTCTTTCTTGAGATGTCCGGGTATATTACATTTTGAACAGATAATTAGTCTGGGTGGTGCAAGAAATTCGGTTACTTCAAAAAGTTGTCCACTTATTGGAATAGATTGACCATATATCATTTTTTCATATTCATCTTGATCAGACAATTCCATTCTAATGTGTCTACTTTTCACACTTGTAGCTCCTTTCATTTCTTCAATGTTGAATATTGATCGAAATCTGGTACATATTTCATTCTTAATCTCGTCGAATTCAATGCTTCTTGGTACATATTTGATGATAACAGAACGTTGAGTTGGTAAGTATTTGGGTGGATTTGGTTGTATCATTGTATTGAGTATTTTTTCTGGATAATTGTTCGCATCACATAGAAATACGAAAAGCGCTATACTTTTTGTGTAGCATTGTAGGTCGTTGTTGCGGTCGATGTACCAGTAATCAAATCCTATAGGTTGAGTATGTTCCTTGTTAATGTGTATGAGTTTTTTCTCAATAAAGTGGAGAAATTCTTTTACAAGTAATGTACCATCTTTATGATCTTTTATTTTAGGTTGACATTTGATCTTTATCGGTGGTAAATGCTGTTCAACTGCGCAATGAAGTGCACTATTTGTAAATTTGTATTTATCATCATGTTGATGATTATTATAATTGTTCGTGCTTGAGTAGTTGGTCAGGTGGGTTTGTTTGATATTTCTTTCGTTCTCTATGTTATTTTCTCTATGATTCATTTTGTCCGGTGCTTTGTTTGTGAACATGCGAGAATTTGTTATAGTTCTTCCTTTCTGTTTATCTTTTTGTTGTAACAATTGCGGTTGTGGTTGACTATTTATGTAGTTATGAATCATAGTCACGTCATTTTGTTCTTCATAGTGTTTTTCTTTGTCAACACTCTGACGCTTCTTTCTTTTATGCGTAACTGGTTCGAAATCATTATCATTTTCGTCACTAATATTTTTCAAACTGTAGCTATTGTTCACATCTGGGTTATAATTAAGATGACGTTTAGGTGTGCGAACTTCTTTACGACAATCATTTTGTATTTCAAATATTGAATTGGGTGAGGCCGACACATGATTATGTGAATTATCAATAATTGTATTTTTCGTATTTTGTTGCATATTGTTGATGTCATTATTTTCCGTTGCTTGCATACCCAGGTCAATGATTCCGGAGGACGGATACTGTAGGAACCGGCCGGAAAGATGCGGAAAAATCACCGTATCTGGCCGGAAAGCATGGGAAAGCACTGGAAACTGGAAGCAGTATTCCAGTTGGAAGTTACCGGATTTTTTTCCTGTGGATTCCGGTCAGTTTCCTGTGTTTTCCGGTCAGTTTTCTGTGTTTTACATCTGGAAGTTGATCGGAATCTACAGGAAGAAAATCCGGTAACTTCCAACTGGAATACTGCTTCCAGTTTCCAGCGCTTTCCTGTGCTTTCCGGCCGTTTCCCGCCGTACGTCCACGACCTGGGTAATTGTGTTATTGTTTTTTATTGTCAAATATTATGGAATATTTTGCTTAAAAAAAAATAACTTGATACGTAATAATAGTATTTATCAATCGATCTAAGGTTGATACACGTTATGTATACGCGCACTTCGCGTATACTTGTACGAAGGAGAAAGCAGCCTATCGATACGTGTATGTAGAGAGAAGTGAGGGGGGCTATTATTGCAGACATTAACAACTATCCTCTGCCACTGTTAGAGACATGAGCGTTTAAACAATTCCTAATGACAGTTCCTTCATGTTTTTATTAATTAGAATTAAATATTTATCTCGAACTGAAATATTTGTCGAATTTAAAATTCATATTGATGAAAAAAAAATGTTTCTTTTGCTAATAATATATGCTGATTTTTTTTAATAAATAGAAAGTTTAATATAATAATTTGATATATTTAATGAGAAAACGACAATTAAATGTATTTATACATTTGTTCAAATGATATTTCTAATAGTACATCGATGGCGAAACACAAAATGACTGACGTGAATCAATTGATCGAATAATGTTGATCATCAATTGAATTTGAATTTGAATTTGAATTTGAATTTAATTTTCGTTTTTTGTTTGGTGATGTTTGTTGAACAACAAGTTGATGTCGTGTTAACATTCGGTTCATTTTCGGCGTTGACGTTGATCCCGATCGAGAAACACATTCATCATTTTGATCAAATAAATATCTTCTTTTAATTATATTAAAACAAATTTATTTTTTATTTAAATAAATTTTATTTTTTACTTTGTTGAACCATTTATATGATTAGTTGTTCGTTTTCCATTTGGTGAATTTCTCTAAAAACAGAGATCAAGAGTAAAAACAAAGAAAAAAAAAATTTCACCAACAGTTTGTTTTTTATCGAAATGATAATGTGGTGGTGTATGACTGCGTGTTCTTGAAGCAACTGTTGATTTTTTCATATTTTCATAATTATTATCAGATAAATTATTTAATTCATCATCTGTTGAATCCCAACTTATACTAAATAAACGTTTTTCTCATTACGATATTAAACAAATATAGGATAGAAAAAAAACGTACTCTGACGTTGTCAATTGATTTCCAGTGGAACGTGTCATTCGTTGAGAATAATTCTAAAAATAAAAATAAATTTTCATTTTCTTTTGTTTCTATCAATAGAATATTAACATTATTGTCTGGTGGATTTATTCTTCGTCTTGTATAAAGTCTTTCTTTAATATTTGATGTTTTTATTGATGTATTTGTTGATGATGATGAAACGCGACGAACAGAACGATGTCTTATGCTAGAATGTAATTCATCATTTCGACTATTTAATGATGACGATGATGAAGATGATTTAGTTGATTTCGAAGATTTCGAGATTGACTTCGTTGATGATGAAGACGACGATGAAGACGAAGATGATGACGAAGATGTTAAGGATAAATTTGATTCATTATCTGATATCGATGAAGATTCATCAACTATATTTGATCTTTAATTTAAAAAAATAATATTTATTAAAATTTTATTTTAACTAACAAAGCTCGACGTCGAGAACGTTTTTCACTATTTATTGATGAAGCCTTTTTTCCTATTATTAATACGAAATGAATTTACTGAAAAAAAAGAAAACAATAAAACTTTACTTGGCTGAGATTGATCATTATCTTTATTTGAAGATGTTGAACAACCAAGTTCTTCTAATAAATTTCTAATACCTTTGATAAAAATAGAAGAAAAAAACAATATTAAACCTAATAAAAATTGATTTCTATCGATTGAATATCAAAACGAAAAAAATTTGAAACTAACGTCGATGATTAAAAATAAGCCGTTCATATTGATCAGCAGAAAGAAAACGACTTATTTGATGGAGATCCATTCTAAATAGAAATTAAATTATTAAAGAAAAGACAAGAAAATATCCTTAACTGTTGATCAGGTGAATAATTAAATCCTAAAGCATAATCTCTAATAAAGTCTTTTAATTGTAATCTTCTTCTTAATATTTGTGCATAAGAACGTAAGAGTGATAATTTAGCTTTATGCAATAAAATAGTTGAACCATCTTGTTGTTCTTCGGATTGTTCAATTTGTTGAAATTGTTGTTGTTGATGATCATTATTCAATAAGGGAAGACGGTTTTCAGCTTGATTCAAATATTCTCTTTCGTATTCATCTCTGTATGGCATATAAGTTAACATCTTTTGTTGTTCACTATCAATTAACATTGGTGGATAAATTAAAGATTTTATTTTAAAATAACTTTCATTGATTTGATTTTCACCGAATAATTTTTTATTATTGAGAAATGATTGAAAATAAATTGAATATGAACTTGTTGAACGTGATAAATAAATATCTTCAAAATGATTTTGACAATCAAATGAATTTTTCGACATTTTTAATCCAATATCATTCCAATTTCCTAATCCACATGATTCAATTATTTCAATAAAATTAATTTCATCATTAGATAACCATTCACTTATATTGTTTTCATCCAATGGAATATCATTTAATTTATATGTTGCTAGTGAATGGTGTTTAGCATGTTCACGTAATTGATTAACATATAATGAACATTTAAAACATATACTTATAGAACGAGATGGATTACATTTTAAACAGTTTATTATTAATGATGATGGACGACAACAACAATAATCACATTTTAACATGTTTTAATATATTTTCTTTCTTTTGTTTTTAATCTAAATATTTAACAATTTATTCAAATAAACAATCAAAATAATATTAAAACAATTTCTATTAACAAAGAATTTTTTATTTTCTAAAGATTCTATTTAGTTTTAATATAAATAAAAAAGCATATGATTTTATATTAAATAAATATTAACAGTAAAGCAATCGATAGAAGTTTTATTTGTACTGATTTCTATATTAATTTTAAATTTTATTTATCGAGTCTAATAAAATTATTCATTGCCAAAAAAATAATTGCAAATAAAATATTTAATTAACCGTTCTTAAGAAATAGATAAATGAATTTTATTTATAAATATAATTTTTATCTTAAATGAAAATGAAATTAAATAAATATTCTTAGATTAGAAAAGAATATACCCCATTTAAACCATCATAGGAATATTAATTAATGGCTATTATATTTTAATTTATATTGAAAAAAAAATGATATTTAAAAATAAATTATATAAAAGTATTGCTTCAAGAATAGATTGTTTACCTTAATTAGCAAAAACATTAATCTGAGAAAAAAAATCAAATATTGAACGTTTATTTTATATGCAAATAGAAAATCTTTTTCATTTGTTTTCTCCTTTTATGAAGTTTAAATGTCGCATGTATAGATAATCGATATTTATTTCCTATAATCTAACAATAATAATTAACAATGAAAACACTCAAACTATTCATTGATTTTGCTGTGTTAATTGATTCTATTTATATGCTAGCAAAGATTATAATTTTAACCAATAAATATCTCAAGACGACATATGGTTGTATATTTAAACGAATGACTGATCAAAGAAAAAGAGGCCACCACTTTCTTTTTTTTCGTGTCAATTCTAAGAAAAAAATCTTCACAAAATAAAACTAAATTTTATCACTTATATCGGGTGTCCTAGGAATAATGGGCCTCTCAGTATTTTACCAATAGCTTCATCAATTTTCGTCGCACAGATTTAACTCGCTTCACCAAAATATTCTTCATACAATTCTCTACAAAACTGTATAAAACGTTTTAACGTAAAAAGGAACCGTGAAAGATTCTAGGCTACAGATTATAAGACACCAAAATTATGAGTTTTGTAACAGCGTTTTTTCAAAAAAATGATTATCTTTTATCTATGATTTGACAGGCGCCTAGTTGTGCTCGTCTCTGCTTTTCGATATTTTCAAATGTCTTCGTTCTCGTGATCCCTAGTGAGGGTCGTTTGAACAGGATAGTATTGTACAAATGGTCATATTTCTTACAAAACAATGTGAAATCGTCGAAATTCGTTTTATCAAGCCACATTTTTATACAAAGCAAAGCATATATACAGACCGCTGCGTACGCTTGGTAGGCTAATCATCTACCCTCAAATGGGCAACAATATTTTAGTATAAAAAGTTAGTTTAGGACATAGCCGTCGGAATTTTCCAAAGTAACGCCAAAGTCCTGCCGAAAATTTCGAAATATGTGGAAAAGAAAAAGCTTAGCTGTACGAGAACCAAAGTGTCGAAAGGAATTTTTAATTCCCATCAAGAAAGAGCTTTTCAAGGGCTATACAATCACTCATTCTATTTTTCTGTATCTCGCACGTCTCACCGCTAAGATAATAAAAACTGACAAAACAAATTTACAAAGTCCGCCATGTTGGGGTCTTGTAGTCTGTAGCCTAGAATTTTTGACGGTTTCTTTTTACATTAAAACGTTTAATACAGTTTTGTAGAGAATTAAATGATGAATCTTTTGATGAAAAGAGTTAAATCTGTGCGACGAAAATTGACGGAGATATTGGTAAAATACTGAGAGACTCATTATTCCTGGGACACTCGATGCAATTATCACTTTTTATAGAATCTATTTTATCATAAAGTTAAAGATTACAGTTACAATCCTTAGACCATGAAAATGTGCACAACCATGAGCAGTGTAATATTCGATCAAAAATCCATTTTGATCTTGGCCAAAAAGAACTTTTCCATTTGATAATAGGCACAAATATTACTTATTTTAGTTGTTTATTATGTTTATTGACAATGAGTAGTCGAAAGATCGAGCATAGACTTTTTTATACAGAAATCATCCACTTACAATCGTCGAGAAATAAATTTTATAGAATTAAGAATTTTTATTTTATTTTGCCATCATTCGCCATCTACTCATCTGCTGAATATTTTACTGTTTCTATGTACAGTTCTATTGTCAATAGAATTCATATTTTTAAGTGTTTTAAAAAGAATGAAAAAAAAGCAGTCAAAGTACACAGAAACCGAACAGGGTGTGGGTGTGTAGAAAATCTATCGTACTACACAAGTTCGATTAGAAGTTGTTACTATAAAACTTTCGTCAGCTGGATACTGGATAGCAAAAATTTGAGAAAGCCTCCATTCACTCACAACGTTGTATCAACGCATCTAAGAACAAGTTTATGAAATGACACTAAACATTCTCACTCCTATTCATATAATTAATAGAAAAATAGTATCGAAACAAAATGTGTCTTATTCAAATCAAAGTTTTTATACACTATCGTAAGTCGTCCACAATCGATATATATATATTAATCTATTCTACATCATCATACAATGTATTTGAAATCTATGATGCAACTGTGAATTAAGTGCGTTTATTTAATTTTTTGATCATAAAATAAATATTGACTGCTGTTTACTCGATATAGTGACATTTCTATAATAAGTACATGTTAATCAGTATTATTTTTAAAAACTTATACTCGCATCTGTTGATTACAATGAGAAATAATAAAAATAAAAATTTTGATTACCCCGACACCATGAGAAACGTTTTTAATATTTATTTGAAAATACTACCTGTTCTCATATATATATAAGAATTATATGAAGAATAAAACAACTTTCTATTGAATTGCAAATATATTTTTCGAACGAGAATTCTAACGCAAAAATAAGTTCAAATTAATTAGAGATACAATAGATTACTCTCCCCTATTGTTTGTTGCTATTCATTATTAAAAATTTCTATGGTCTTCATTCGAGCAAACATTCAGTACCAAATTGTTCATTCAGAATTGAAAAATTTCGTCGAAAAAGAATAATTTCTTTTTTCTTTTTCCTTTGAATGCGTATTGTTGTTATGTACTCGATACTTCTCCAAAGCGTACATGCTTGAAAAAAGAAAAGAAGTGGTAAAGCAAATAGAAATGGATTGAGTTACGTCGCTTTGTAAAAAAAAGGTGAGGAAAAAGACTTTTGAAAAAAATATCGGCTAAGCCTTATGAGTTGAAAAAAATTCTTTCCAACAACAACAACAACAACAGTAGTACATCAACTGTTTTCAAATTTTCGATCGTGGTAAGTTATTAGGAACAAAGGTGTGGGTGTCCAGAACGTCAACACCCACACTTCACACCCACACCGTCAAGCCATATTTAAAAAAAAGTAGGTGCATCATTTTTATGATTCTATTTCAATTTCAATGTTTCATCATTCACATACTTATTCATATATATATATTGTAATTAAATATTGAACTACATGATAGTTTTAAGATTAAGACAAGTTCGCTATCATTGGGTGTGGGTGCGGGTGCCCAGAACGTCAACACCCACACCCACACCCACCCAACTGATTTAACATACAAAACAAAATTTAGAAAAGTTTTGCTTTATTTATATTTAAATATTCTCACAATTCTTTTTCAAACAAACGATTAAGTACAAAGAAATATTTGCAGCTTCATTTTATTACAGCCATATGAAAAGTATATCATCATTTATCGTGTTAGAACCTTCTGTTCGAAAAGAACGAGTATTTGAATTCTGTAGATCACGTAATTTTTTATCATAAAGTTCAGCATGTTGTAATATACCATGAAGAGTGAGAAAATGTAATTTCGAAAGACCGCTCATAAGTATATGCGACATTTCAATAAATTCACGAGCACCACCGTGTAGTTCTATGATTTGCAAATGAGGCAGTTGCTCGACAATTAAATAGGCAACATTTAACAAATTTAATTGTTGCCAAACAGTAAAAAGATTAAGTTGTCGTAACCCATTTGACATGAGCATGTTACACAAAGAGCTATCGTTAAGGAGATCGATTAAAGTTTCCTGTTTCAAATAGGCTTTACAATCATATTCTGCTCTATAACGCAGTTCTAGAGTACGTAGATTCGTCGCTTGCGAAAAGAGAAGATGAAGATGATTTCGATTAAATGGTTCAGTAATACTAAGCGATGTAACTTGATGCCAAAGAACGATAGGTGGTGAAAAAGAAAGAAATTCTTCGTTTATTCGATCATAATCTTCACTCATCCTAATCCTATTGCAGTGAAGCCATTGGTTGTTGAAGGTACATCCATTATATGACCATGGAGTTCGTCTAAATTTAAAAAAAAATGTTTCTAATAAAAAAACAACTATCTATTTATACCCATGCACAGTATTTTTATGTAGATAGAGATCGACACATAAACATTTATCCATTCTTGGTACTGTTAAAGCTCTAATAGAATACATGTTTTCTTGTAAAGATAGTTCTAATTCAATTGGCGCTAATTCTTTGAGCTGTTGAAATGTATCGAATAAAATTTTGCTGGTTTCTGATAACGACACTACAGTTCTAACAGACCATATAGCATCAAACGAATATAAACATTGGCTGTAAAGCATGGATTGTAAATTGTGAAGAACATCGGGACCAGCCACCCACGCCAATAATCTGAATTTCATTAGTGAAAATAAAACATCACGTTCAAATAGTTCATTAATCGATTCCAGATTCATCATAGAATCCGACCATTTTATTGTTAGGTGGCATAGATTTGGAGCAAGATGTTTATTAATGGGAGTGACTCGACTAAAATAGATTAATAAGACCATATTACAATAATAAAAAATACATTACCTATAATATTTGACTTCTTAATGAAATATAGTTTTCTTTCATTTATCTACTTCAGATAGTATGTCAGTGTTAGTAGCGTAACCAAAAAATGACGGGT